TGGGTTTCTCTGCGTCCCCGCTTGCTTTCACGTCCCCTCTGCAGCAGAAACGGCCCGAGGAAGAGCCATGGCCCAACAACTTGGGGAGGCAGAGATTTTTTTTTTTTCAGTTGGTTTGCTGGGGTTCGGTCATCAGAGAGCGCAGGGCCCCTGCAGTAGGGAGCTGGAACTCCAGGCAACTCGCGCACCCCCGGCCTCCAGGAACCGCTTTCCGGTTCCATCCAAAACGCTCTTTGCCCCCGTAAATCTTTCACACTGAGAATCACGGCATCTACACCGCTCGTTCCTAGGGCTGGAGAGGCGGGCGGTGCGGAGGCCTGTGTGGGATCCTGCTTGGAGCTTGGGCTGTGGTCAGTTTGTCCTGCGCACCATCCTGTGTGCAGGGCTGGCCCCTCTGCTCCATCGTGAGGGTGCTTAAGCTTAGGAGGGTCTTCCCCAGGCCCCCTGGGATCTTAAACTAGGCCGCCAAGAGTCCTATCTGAAGTGCCGACGCCTCAGGGAAGAAAGGTGAGGGACTCTTTGGTGCTGGCAGCTGGAATTAGGATTGGCATCCTGGGGCAAGGAAGTCAGACACCTTTTGGGGGCTGGGGGGTGTCCCGTCAGGGTGGGGAGCTCACCCCGGAGAGCAGGAGCGTTGAGGGGGTTGAGGCTCCCCAGTTTTCTCCAAATGATGGGACTGGGTTCACAGCTAGTCTAATGTAGGTCATTAAACTGCAGATAACACCGTGATCATCCTGCGGAATTAGGTTCTGCAGTTTGCCCCACAGCCACCTGTTCCTAACCAAACACATTCTGAGTGGCTCTTCCCTTTGCTGACTGCGGGTGACACTCAACGGCCTCCCAAGGGGCACACCCCGCACTCGCCCTTCGAGGCAGGCAGGTGGCACGGGACCAGGCAGTGACGCTCAGGGGGCCCAGAGCTCTGCCCCGACAGGCCCGCGACAGGCGGGAGAGGCGAGAGGACCTACTGGTAGTCGGCCTTCTTCTCGGAGAAGACCCGGACGCAGAAGTCGCCGTCCTTGTTGGGCTCGAAGGTGGAAGGCACAAGGATGTACTCTCCCGGGGGCAGCTTGAAGCGGTTGAGCACCTCCCGCAGGTTGATGAAGGTGTCCGACCGCTCCCTGGCCCTGGTCGTCAGGAAGAACTTCTTGCTGAGGTGGATGTTGGTCTGTCCCATCAACTGACACATAAGCAGAAACACGGGGGAGTGGAGGGTGGAACGGGAGCCACGGCGGTGTCGCTCTCACGCATCCAGAGAGGAGGTGACGGCGACAACGTCTGCATCGTTTTGGGAAAACAGCAAACTTGCTGCCAAAGCGACAGATGCCTGCGGAGGAGCTTGGAGGGACCTCGCACGCCTCCAAGTGCCTCAGGGACGTTTAGCGTCCACACGGCAGGAAGCTGGGACGTGGGTCCAGGTCTGTCTCTGAGCCCCCCTCCGTCTTCTAACCTGCAGGGTCTACCTGGTCCCCTCAGGCTCGTTCTAAGAGCACTGCAGGGCTCGGGAAGAGCCTCCTGCGGTCCCGGGACCACAGAGTGTCCACCCCGAACTAAACCACGAGTGGCCTCTGCGAGGCCTCGGGGAGGCAGCAGGCCCCCCGGGGGCAGCCTGAGATACCCCACCCTGAGCTCGTACCAGCAGGATCTAGGACCTGAGCAACCTCCCCAGGGCCCTAGAAGGGCCAGGGAATCATCCTTCCCAGCCACCAGTCCCCAGCCCATGCGTCACAGGACCCCCGAGCCCACAGTCTAAGCCTTTCACTTGTTGGTGAACCTGAGCCCCAGGGATGGAGACTGACGCCCGCCAGACGTACCTCCTCCGGAACCTGCAAAGATAAAGAAGTGCATGCTCAGTTCCAACGCTGGCCACATCCTGTGTGTGTTTCTCTGGGCAAGTCGTTTCCCCTTTCTGGACTCAGCTCCCTTATCTCTAAAATGGGACCAAGTGCCCAGCCGGGTGTGGCTCAGCGGTTGAGCATCGACCTAGGATCCAGGAGATCGGGGTTCGATTCCTGGTCAGGGCACATGCCCGGGTTGCGGGCTAGGCAGCCGATCAATGACTCATCATTGATGTTTCTATCTCCCTCTCTCCCCCTCCTTTCCTCTCTCTGAAATCAATAAAGATATGTTTAAAAAAAAAAAGGGACCAAGTGACTACCCAGGTTCTTCCCGGAGGCTCTTTCCCTGAGTGCTGTCCTAGGAAACCGGCCCTTGAGGGAGGGCGCGAGCCCCGATGTTTAGTCTCTGCCAATTGCCATGGTGTAAATACTGCCGTCTCCCGCCATGGGCTGTTTTCAGGCTGTGAGGCGGCCTCACGAACTGTGGGGCCCGGGAGAGGGAGGCACGCGTGGCCTTTGGGAGCCGCCCGTCGCACCCGCGTGCACCCACTTCAGCTGCCCTGGGGTCCCGCCTGCAGTTCTGCGTGTGTGGGGGGGGCGCAGGGAGGAGTGGAGAGGGAAGGGTCGGGGCCGCGCCGCTCCCCCCGCGCACCTCGTAGATGCCGAAGCCGATGGTGTGCATGTCTTCGCCCATCTTCCTCTGCCGCCGCCGGTGCTTCTGGATGAGGCCCACCAGGAAGGTGCAGCCCCTCTCCCCGTCATCCTGGTCTTCGTCTTCTTCCTCCAGCTTGATCAGGTACTGCGGGTTCATCCAGAAGGTGTCTGTGGCCGGGGAGGGGCTGGGGTCGGTCACCCGGGCCAG